TAACTTAATTAGAAAAATAAGCCACTGTTTCTTCAACTGTGACTGTTAATTTTAAAGCAAAATATGTGTTCAATCATGTGAGAGAAAAACATTACTGAAAGTGAAATAAATGGGAATATCACTGAAACAAAAATCTGTTGAGGGTCAGGGATTTAGCTCAGTAGCACTGCGCCTGCCTCACAAGCACAAGGTCCTGTGTTCGATTCCCGGTACAAAAAAACCCATCTGCTCCAAGTGTGGTTAGCAAAAGTGACCAGTGTGAGGACAGAGCATCAGAACTAGAAGATAGGGCTGAAGCAGGTGACCATATACTGAGCAATACCTTAAAAACAAGAGAACTGGGGAAATGGAATCAATAGCTGCTAGATGACACAAAGAAGACAAACTTAAGAATAATTGGAATTAGATAAAAAACAGGAGGTTCCACAAATGATATAAAAATCTGTTTACAGAAATCATAGCAGAAAAAATTCCAAATATGGGGAAAGAATTCAACATACAATATCAATAGCATTCCTGTACGCCAACAGTGAGCCCATGAGAAAGAAATCAGGAAAACAGTACCATTTACGCTAGCTTCAAAAAAAATCCCCAATTCTTAGGAATTAACCTAACCAAGGAAGTGAAAGACCTCTACAATGAAAAATATAGTATGAAAGAAAGACTGAAGAGAACAAAAGAAAATGGAAAGACATCCCCTGTTCCTTGCAGGTAGAACCAATATTGTCAGAATGGAAAGACTACCAAAATTGATATATTTCATGCACTCCCAATAAAAATGCTAATCACATTTTTCACAGAACTAGAAAAACATTACTCAAACTTATATAAAACCAGAAGAGTCCCAGAATAGCAAAAGCAATCCTGAGCAACAAGAGGAAAGCAGGTGGGATCACAAACTCTGACTTCAAGTTATATACAAAGCTACAGTGATTTAAAAAACAAAAAAACCAAGTGCTGGGATTACAGGTGGTGATTCAGGGTTGATTAACCTTAAATTTATGTAACCTATCTCGTCTCCCTTTCAAGATTCAGGACACCAAGATAAGAGATTTATAGGGACATTGAACTATCAACAAGTGCCGCCAAGTCTCTAGTCATAGCCCTAAACTCCCAGTCACCTTGGATTCCAGCAGAGCTTCCACAAAACTGAGACTGCCTCAAGCAGAAACAGAAGCCAGAATAAGCAATAAGAACCTCTCCAGAACCATCTTGCAAATCCAGAATTGAGGTAATG